ATATTAAGTAAAACCAACACATCTACATGTCACAATTACCAACAACTTCTATAACACAAAGAATGACCTCAAGTGACACTAACTTTAGGAGGGAAACGTTATGGTTGAGCAGATAGCAAATGTGGTCAAGGGGAAATAATCACACAAGAAGATTAAAATCAAACAAGGCCGACAGAGTTACCTTTCTTGGAAAATAGCAAAAACCTTAAAAATAGCACTTGGTTACACAAATATAAACCTTGGTTGTGTGCTGTTTGCTAGTTCAACAAAAGAATGGATTGATTTATAAACTCCATTTTTTGGGGGAAAGAAGGGGATATTGTCATGACCCACTAGTCAGTGACAGCGTTGGTAAACTTTCATTTATGGTCACTTCAATACATGTATCATTAAAGTCAAAACGTGGATACACTGATCAAGGTAACTGTGATCTTTAATGGGTTATAGTCAATTTTCTTATCAATTACCAAAGCTATTTACTTTGAAACTTGGTGTTCACTATCATCAGATGTGATGTAATATCAAAAAGGCAAATGATCCTAAGTTATGATTTGAAAAGCTGTGTCCCTTTTGTAATTTATCAAAACTATCAGATACTATCTTTAAACTTGGAATATTTTTTTAATTTATAGATTCTACCCCCACCACAAAATGTGGGGGGGGGGGGGCTATAATGGATTCGCTTTGTCGCGTCCGTCGGTCGGTCGGTCCGTACGAACCCAGAGGTACTTGTATGACTTGGAGAACAATGGGTAACAGTGAAATATCTTTGATCCTATTCATTCCGTTTTTACTTGTGTGTCTTTTTTAAGCCATGTGTGACTAAAAATGGCCAAAAAGATCAAAGGAAAAATCACATAAGTACCATTTTGTGAATATGTCCGTCTGTCCGTCCGTCCGTCTCCATTTTCGTGACCGCTCTATAAATCCTATACCAATTGAAGGATTTTATTCAAACTTGGCTCAAATATTAACCTCAACAAGGGGATGTGAAGAACCCATGTTGCCCATGTGTCAGCTCAAGGTCAAGGTCATAATTGAAGGTCAAATATCAAAAAATTAAATATTAGACAGTATGTCGTGTCCGCTCTGTAAGTCCTACACTAATTGAATGATATTCTTCAAACTTGGCTCAAATGTTCACCTCAACAAGGGGATGTACAGAACCCATGTTGCCTATGTGTCAGCTCAAGGTCAATGTATATCAAACTATCAAATATAAAACAGTATGTCGTGTCCGCTCTGTAAGTCCTACATTAATTGAAAGATTTTCTTCAAACTTGGCTCAAATGTTCACCATAACAAGGGGATGTGCAGAACCCATGTTGCCCATGTGTCAGCTCAAGGTCAAGGTCACAATTGAAGTTCAAATATCAAACAATAAAATATTAGACAGTATGTCGTGTCCGCTCTGTAAGTCCTACACTAATTGAAAGATTTTCTTCAATCTTGGCTCAAATGTTCACCTCAACAAGGTTTTGTGCAGAACCTATGTCCCCCTTTTGCCGGCTTAAGGTCAATGTCACACTTGCAGGTCAAGAATTGACTTAGAAAATATTCTTAAATTTTAACATGTATTTGAATATTTCTGAAACTAGAAAAGGTATTTGCTTGAAACTTAAAATATATATGAAGTGTCACAATTAAGATATGCAGGTCTTAGAAAATGTTAAGTACATTGGGAAAATGAAAGGTTATTTGTAACTGTTTCGAACATGATTTGACAATATATATTTATACTATTACCTGTACAAGTTGTCTATTTTTCACCAGAGATAATTTCTTTTTATGTATATGTATTTGTGCCACTAAAGTTATTCCCTTAACCACCTTTCCAAGTCGTCTTCTGTCATGGACATTGGTGGGGGTATGAATCGCATTCAGCGATAGTTCTAGTTCAGTTTAAAAAATGAAATTCAATTTAAAGGACAGATAATCCTGAAGTGCGTTTTTGCTCAATTTTCTCGCGTTTTATTCTTTTTCTATTTTCATAATTTTCTCTAAAACCATCACAGATAGTAACTTCAAACTTGGAATATTTGTTGAATATCAAGGCAATATTTTTTGCCATACAGCTTATCCGATTTATGCCCCCTTTTCTTCTTTGCTTTCATCATACTAACAAGTACTGAGAACGTGCTGCTCCTCGGCAGCTCTTAATACGAAGGCCAGTCACTGAAAAGGTTATCTCTGATTGAATTTATAAATACATTTTGTACCCTAAAAGAGTGGTAAGAAGTAATATAATTTATTGAAAAATGTACATTCTTCGTTTCAAATTACACTTTGTGTTTCAAGGCTTGGTTAAATATATAATAATATATTTGTTGTCCTCCCCCGCCTTTTCAAAGAAAAAATGGGGAAATAGGCTCCGTCCGTCTGTCCGTACAAACCCAGAGGTACTTGAGTGACTTGGAGAACAATAGCTAACAGTAAATTATCTTTGATCCTATTCATTCCGTTTTTACTTGTGTGACTTTTTTAAAGTCCTGTAGCTAAAATGGCTAAAAAGATCAAAGGAAAAGTAACATAAGTACCATTTCGTAAGTATGTTTGTCTGTCCGTCCGCACTCACATGACAGTAATTATGTGGCTAGAGGGACAATATGTTCTTTCTCTTTGATGTCATTCATTCCTTAATGCTTTTATGTGGCTATTTTCTTTTGTGTGGCTAAAAACAACAATAGAGAGAACAATAGAGTAGCCAAATTATTACTCTCCTGCAACAACCTGTCACCTACCTCCAAGGTCAAGGTCACACTTTGAGGTCAAATATTAACATAGTCTGTTACAGGGTATTTTTGTGTCCAGTCAATAACTTTTTCATAGATCAAAGGATTTTGGAAATACTTGCCTAAAATAGTCACTATAATAAGACGATGTGTCATGCGCAACACCTGCATCCCTACCTCCCAGTTCAAGGTCACACTTAAAGGTCAAAAGTTAACATAGTCTGTTTTAGGGTATATTTTGTGTCCGATCTAGAACTTCTTCGGGATTTTGAAATAACTAGGCACAAATATTCACAATAATAAGACGATATGTCAAGTACAACACCTGCGCCCCTACCTCCAAGGTCAAGGTCTCACCTAGAGGTCAAAGGTTAAGAGAGTCTGTTATATTATATATTTCGTGTCCCCTCAATAACTTCTTCATAGATCAAGGGATTTTGAAAATACTTGGCACAAATAGTCACAATGATAAGATGATATGTCATGCGTAACACATGTGTCCCTACCTCCAAGGTCAAGGTCACACGTAGAGGTAAAAGATTTACATAGTCTATTATAGGGTATATTTTGTGTCCAGTCCATAACTTTTTCATATATCAAGGGATTTAAAAAATACTTGGCACAAATAATCACAGTAATAAGACGATCTGTCAGGCGCAAAACATGGGTCCCTACCTCCAAGGTCACACTAAGAGGTCAAAGATTAACATAGTCTTTTATAGGGTATATTTTGTGTCCGATCCATAACTTCTTCATAGTTCAAAGGTTTTTGAAAATACTTGGCACAAATAGTGACAATAATAAGACAATATGTCATGATCTACACCTGCACCCCTACTTCCAAGGTCAAGGTCACACTTATAGGTCAAAGCTTAACATGATAGATTTTTAAATTCCGTGTGTCACTTTATTTCTTTAATAAATTTATTGTTGCATTTGCAGATCTAGCATTGATCATAATTTTGGACTGAAAGTCCTGAGATCCATACCTCAATCTTTTGAAATAGCACAATTTTATGCTTCATATAAAACTTCCCCGAGGCGAGGGACGTTGGTAACACTGTATTACATTGATTTAGATTTTAAACGGTATTTTCCAGTTTTCTTCTGCCGTCTAAAAAAGTACACATTAAGGGAAAACTGAGACATTAAAAATGCCGACATAAATACTGTTTGTCGACATCGCCTTTAGCAATACAGTTATTTTGAAGACTTTTTCTATGGAAAAAACATTAATTCAATCCATTTATTCTTTTTTTTTCATCTTATGCTTATTAACGGATTCAACGGATTCAAACCACATTCAGACCAATTCATGCATGTTCTAAACGTAACCTTAGCTTATTAAGTACATGTTATCTGTTCACCTAGCTTAAGGTCTTCAGCGTACCCGTTTATATACTATGACATGACGTGAACGCTGAAGATAACCCCATAGGGAAAGTCCACCAATAATCGTGCCAGGAATCTGACACGCTCGTATTTATTCATCGAACATGCCATGAAGTAAAGTGAAACATACCTTGATAAAACTATATATTATCTGTTGATAAGCCAAGGATGGACAAATAAAAATCTTATTACGAACATAAACTACCTAATAGTTTCCGACAGGTAAAATTTTCGGCACTTGGCCGCCATATTGCCAAAATGTTTGATCACGTGATTACGAGATTGACCTTTACGAACCCATGTGTCTCCAATATTTTTATAAATTACTTTTTTTAAAGATATTGAAAAAGGTGATTTACTGACTTTTATATTCAATACAATCATATTTAAGTACTAAAAAATTAATGAAAATAAATAAAAACATTATCTTGAATAAAAGTATCAAAATCATGTCAACAAAATGTTCTAAATATAGTACACGACTCTATTCAAATCTGTTCCCGCGAATGACGTCATACGAGATCTCGCGTGGCACCTGAATGTCATGGCCAACTGTAGTCGGCGTAAATTGATATTTTACAGTTGAATAGGCAATTTTAATGACGGTATTAATATTTTGATACTTTAATTGGTATAGAATGATACTAAAATGATTGTTTTATCGTAAAATGCGCAAGAATTGATTGGGTCAAGTGTATTTGCAAGTGAAAAACAAGAATAAATCAACTTATGTTATTCTGGTTAGGTTTCGTAACGGGTCTAATCCAAAACTTTAATGCCGCATCAGATGAAAAACAAAAATGTTAAAGAGCGGCTTATAAAGTTTTGGAAGCCAGAACTACTGTTCACCCTGTGAGAAAAAACTAACACAATATATATTTATATATGGTATTCTATTCAGAACATATAACCTTAAAAGCAATATTATCTATTTATAAAAGGATGGCAGTTGCTTGGCCATGACTGACTTGTAACAAAAACGCATTGCACATGCAATAATATATATTATACAAAATATGTTCAATATAACTTTGATTGAGATTTCCAATATGCCAAAAGAAAGGTTTGTAATATAAATACCAATCAAGAACAATGCCGAATGCTTCTTTAAACACATGAATATGTTACTTGATAAGTGCGCTAGAATGCCGTATCATAATATTTAATGCAATTATTATAATATAATCAATTATTAATTATGGAAAGAACCTTGTTATCTTTTCATAAATGTTAGTTTAAATCACATTCACAATTTCTTATTTTCACACAAGTCACAAATACATTTCTTTTGTTCTTTACATAATATCAAATGTAGATCTAAATCAATCTATGTCATAATTTCTTCAACATGAACACTTTACTCTTTCAACATAATTAATGAATCTTGGTTCCTGTAAATCACATTAAATCACATCACTATACTGTCATACCACACACAAGTCTTGTCCAGTGATTTTTCAGTGTTAAGGTTCTTCCCATCAGCCAGTCATGACGTAGATCATTAAGGTGTATCAATGGCTAAGATAGCATATCAATTGATCTAGTGAGCAGTTTATGCTGAAAATATACAAAGAAACAAACGAAGCAACTCTTCCAAATATATAATCAATAAATCTTTCTACAAGGGTAGGGTTTGGGAGGGTTAATTTGTAAGAAAAAGCAAAATGTCGACCTTCCTGCTTGAATTCCTCGAGGAAAAGGATTGAAAACGCGCAAGGTCTCGATGACATCAGATTTAATTATGACGTCACGCACAACACGTGGTTGAAGCAACAAGACCGGACGAGTTCTCTCCCTTTAATGGGGACCAGATAACTGCATTCATTTAAAGACGAGCTGTAAATGAATGGATTTATCTGTTCACCCTGTGAGAAAAAACTAACACAATATATATTTATATATGGTATTCTATTCAGAACATATAACCTTAAAAGCAATATTATCTATTTATAAAAGGATGGCAGTTGCTTGGCCATGACTGACTTGTAACAAAAACGCATTGCACATGCAATAATATATATTATACAAAATATGTTCAATATAACTTTGATTGAGATTTCCAATATGCCAAAAGAAAGGTTTGTAATATAAATACCAATCAAGAACAATGCCGAATGCTTCTTTAAACACATGAATATGTTACTTGATAAGTGCGCTAGAATGCCAAAGCGCCGGGACAAGACTACGTCGTAGGACCAAGCCCTGCCAAGGAGTAGCGTCTTATCAACGACAAAAAATGCCAAAAATGTACATAAAGGCCCCCTACAGATACGTAAGGACCCCCCAATTTTTTGTTTTGGAAAAACTTGTGTGTACTCCGGATATCGGAGGTGGCCCCGGAATTCGGACGCCGATAATTGTAGGGAGGCCCGCAGTATTGCGATCAATGGCACATCCCATAAACAATCTGTATAGATATATTATATATATTCATTTCAACTTGTTCCGGATATCGGTAACTAGATCGGACTTCGATCAACAGCGCCGGAATATTTGGACATTCAATTGTCTCTTCGGACGCCAGAATTTCTAACGACGTAAATCGCCAACTGATAAAATTGTATTTATACTGCATATACAAATTTGTTTCTTTCTCCGGACATCGGAGATATTACCGGAATTCGGTAAAGTTTTGAAGTTATATTAATGAAATATTAATATCGTGGATTAATTGCCGGAACTCGGTCGCCGATAATAAGTTAAATGCAAAACTATATGCTATATACTTAATATACTATGTTGAAAGTATCATGCGGAGTCTACGAATGAGACGAAGAGCTAATGTCAGGTTTTATGCCACCGATAGTACGCATATTCTATATATAAAGTTCTTAATTTGAGCTTCATAAATGACAATTGCTTATTCTTTAAATTTGTATCTGTCTATTTTTGAGTTACATTAAAGATTCCAAGCAAGAAGGTCGTCTGCATGTTAAATTGATTATATTCTAGTTTTCTGTCATATGAATTCATTTATTATTATTTTTATTATTCATATTTGCATCATCTCGACCATAATTATCATAGCGGCGTCTATCACAACATAAACAAAGAATAATTATTAATAAATGGTGCCGGAATTCGGTCACCACTAATCTCCTACCAGAGTTAACTGACTTGTTAATAGTTCATGATATCAATTATTTTTATTCTTAAGGGTAGCAATCTCTGTTATGTCGCAAAATAGCGACAATACCCTCTTTTAAATCATTGGTGAATATTTCATTACCAAATTCTGACAAATGAACCAAATCCCAAAAAAGAGGCTGGGCTTCCACTATGTCTTGATGTCGAATATAGGCACCGCCAATTGTTTTACAAAATGATTGAAGTGTTGTATTAAAGCGCCTTCGTGCCCTGTTCAACTTAAAGTGGCTACGTTCACCACGGTAAAACATACGTGGAAGAATTTGCGACCAGACAATCTTTATATAAAACCCATTTTGAATACCTAACTGGTGTACATCATTCAATGTGCGTATTGCTAAAAGCTCAGCCTCATTTAAGGGTGTCTGTCCAATATCATTCCCACCACAGTGAATGATAAGCATATCAGGGTATTTCATATATTTCAGTGCTAAGTGCTGTATGGTGTTTGCCAGATGTTGAACCTTCATACCTGACCTAAAATCCCAAACTATTTTGAGATCCAACCCAAGGTTGTGACCCTTGTTTTCGATGGAATAATAGTAGGCATCTCGGATAATCGAAGACCCTATAACCCATACCTCGGGAGGACCTAACAATTAAGTTGATTGGTTTATACTCTTATGTAAGACTGATATACATTTGACTTCCAGCGTCCAGCCTGCTTAATTGCTGATTCAGACATACCTTTATTGAACATGTATGTGGCTCCACCCATTCTAAATGATTGTGATTTAAAAATGTTTAGAGGTTGTCCCAAATATTCTAGACATTTGCGTAAAACATGCTTAAACTGGTATTGGGTTAATGGCTTTCCATTTGCATGACATAGATATTGACCTTGAACGGCAGGTCTTTGTCTTTTATAATTTTCTTAAGTATGTTTGAGCAACACGGCGTCTTCACTCTCGAAATTTACCCGTATAGTTTGACCTTTACCCATCTGATCTGTTTTAGATGATTTTATGTGTATTTGAACAAATGAATCATTTGACTGAATTTCGTTGCAGAGAAATGCAGTTTCGCTCACGCGCATTAACCCAAAAAATGCGAGTAAAAAAGCTGTTTTGAAATGTAATGCTTCATAATCGGACATGCATATAAACACCAAGCTATGTATAATTTGCTTAAGAAGGTGCAAAGTGATTGGCCTGCGAGAGTCTGATCGACTTTGTAATCTGTTCATTCCTTCTAACATTTTTCTTACTATGAAAAATTTAGTATTGTCTTGGAAATTATTCATTTTGTTTACATAGCTAATGGCAGCGATGTGACAGTTTACCGTTTTATATGCATATCCGCCATGTGACATGAACGCTATATATTCTACGATTTCATTTAGACTGGGTGGCCAAACGCTCGGATAGAGCATTGAATTTCTAAATTTTCTAAATGATTCTAATCCCGACTTGTAACATTTGTTTGTATTCTCACTTAAAGACATGTTTACCAGTCGAATGATTTCATGTTGATAAATTGCTGAAAATCAAATGGGATAGAGAGAGGGGTTCTGCTAGCATTTACAGGCAAGCAATTCTGCAGTCTACGGAATTGTAACCTACTTATTGCGTCACATATATCATTTTTCTTCGACACGATGTGAATTGCTTTTATTTGTATATTGTTATAAAGCAATAACAAAACAAGTTTTCGGAGCAGAATCATGACTTTCAGATTTTGCGATGATTTTTTGTTAAGAATCTGCACAAGACTCATGTTGTCACAATTGATGATAATCTTTTTTCCTTTAAGCTTTGATCCCCATGTGTAAAAGGCCAATAGAATAGGGACTAATTCAAGAAGAGTAATGTCTTTAAATACCTCATTACTCCAAAACATCGGCCATTTAAAAATTATCCATTCCCCGTCCATGTAAGCACCACAGCCTAAATGCCTGTTACCAGCAGCATCTGAATAAAGGTCAAGGTCATGATTTGACGACCAGTATTGATCACTGAATATAGACACACCATTAAAATGATCAAGAAATTGCAGCCAAGTTCTAATATCTTCCTTGTGATCTTTATTCAAGCGAATATAATGGTAAGATCTCTTTGCCTGACACTGTGCAGTGTATAATCTACAGTTAAAAGTACGACCTGCTGGTATTGCTTTCGTGAAAAAATTTAAAATGCCTAGAATTGATTGCAGTTCTCTTAATCTAATTTTAGGTTTGACCAAGGCATCTAATAGCAATGATTTTGCTTTATTTATTTTGTCAAAGGGAACTCTTATTTCCATTTTAAAAGAATCAATCTCTATGCCTAAATAAGTGATGATTGTATTAGGGCCTTCTGATTTATCTTCATTTATAGGAATATTCATATCTTTACAGATGTACTCAAAATCCAACATGAGGTTTGTGCAATCCTCTGTGCCGGCTTTTCCGGCAAAGAAAAAATCATCTAAATAATGATCTAAGTTTGACGAGTTTGCATATTGAGAAACCGCCCAGTGAAGGAATATTGAAAATTTTTCAAAATAGGCGGGGCTGACTGAACACCCTTGCGGAAGCATTTTTTGAATCCAATACTTGCCATCAAATTTGACACCTAATAAATCGAAATCATCAGGGTGTACAGGGCAGAGATTGAAGGCCGATTTAACATCTCTTTTCCCCATAAGTGCACCAGGGCCTAAACACTGTATTATTTTTATAACATTGTCAAAACGGGAATATTGAACCATAGTTATTTCACGATCAATAAAATCGTTGACACTAGTTCCATTATAAGGATATGACAAATGAGTTATTAGGCGCATTCCACCTGTACTTTTGGGAACTAGCCCAATTGGATTGATACGTAAGTTTGCAAATGGTTTAATTGTAAAGGCACCTAAAAAGCGTCCTAATTGTACTTCCTTTTCAAGCTTTTTTGCTAAAATTTCCGGGTATCTAATCGCAGACTGCAGATTTTTTGCCGTAAATTCGCAGTGGGGACCACTGTATTGCAGCCTAAACCCCTCTCTGAATCCATGTTATATAAAATTTGCATTCTCCTTATTATAACCTTTGAGCCACATTTCTAGACGCAAAGTATCTATTGGGGTGTTGCCTAGGTCCCAAAGGTGCTCTAGGAGTTTCAAATTGTGGGAAGTGCCCAAACCTGGGATGTCTGAAATGATTTTGGCTGAGATTATTATTAGATCTGTAAGCATTTACAAATCCTGGTGTAGGTGATCTGCAAAGCAAAGCAGAATGCGGCCCGGTACATTTTTTACATTTATGCAAGTACTGACAACCCGGTTTTGAACAAAACCCTTTACCGTTGAACTCATAGCAGTGATTTTGTTTGTTTGATTGATTTGAGCTTAGATTCGTCATAGATACCAACCATATCTCAGCATCAATGTTTGACCATTTTGTATTTGGATATTGTGACATTTTATACCTGAAATATTTGTCATATTTTATCCAGCCAATCGGATTTAGTTTTGACGCAGATCGTATTGTGTTTAAATAATGCAACAATTCTATGGCTAATTCGGGGTGTTTTGCAATCAAAATACTCATATATATTAAAAAGGCATCAGTCCATTGTTCAATTGACAAAACAGTATGTTGAATAGATCTAGAACTATCAGACAAGACTAGTACGCCATTTACAACTTTAAAGATTTTACTTTGAGCGGAGGAATCTTTTTCTAATAAGCATGTTAAATCAACAAATTCTCCACTCAATATTTTTTCTTTTGTACTAGCGTTTACATGCAAAGCCATATCAGTTACTACCGAATTGAAAACATTTTCATTACCTGATGTTTCATGTACTATCGGGGGCTGCCCAACCACAGGTGACTCGAACATTCCTCCAGCAGGAGACATCTGCAAGCCTTGTGAAGTTGAAGCAAATCCTTCCGATACCGAGGCCGTTGAAGGAACAGCTCCCTGACAATGCTGTGTATATGGCACTTGCATTGAATTTGAAGGATAGAGCGACTGTTGTCCCAACATCCCTGTGACATGGGTATGTGTTACTGGTACAACTGAGGCTGGTACTACACAATTAGCCAGCTGCGAGTAATGACCTTGATTCTGTACAGATGACGTATTCACTGAATTTGAATGATAGAGCGACTGTTGTCCCAATACCCCTGGTACATGGGTATGTGACGAGTAATGGCATTGGTTCTGTACAGATGACGTATTCACATAATCGTTCTGATTAGTGTGATAGAACTGATTGATTTGACCTTGGTCCTGAGTTACTGCTGCATAATTTGTTGTTGTTGCATTAGACTGAACTACAGCCGGCTGCTCTACAATGGGTTGCATGGAGACTTCAATCTGATGGGACCGTCTCCCTCTAGATCTTGTGGCTGACCTAGTCTGCCCTCGCGTCTTCCATGTAGATTTACAGTTCCTCTTAGGCCGAGGCATTTTCTCAAGAAGTAAAAAATTAGATTTAATAAGTAGATTATTAACTATCAGTCAATATGTCGACCTTCCTGCTTGAATTCCTCGAGGAAAAGGATTGAAAACGCGCAAGGTCTCGATGACATCAGATTTAATTATGACGTCACGCACAACACGTGGTTGAAGCAACAAGACCGGACGAGTTCTCTCCCTTTAATGGGGACCAGATAACTGCATTCATTTAAAGACGAGCTGTAAATGAATGGATTTATACCAGAAGATTGTATAGTAAATTTATATACATGTAGATAAAATTTTAAACCCGCAGACCTTACATCCGTATATAGGTTAACATGCACAATTGTCACTGATTTCATAACCTCATTTATGAATTCAAAAGTTCGCTATTCCTAAACTTGCCCTTGTTTGCATTATTTGTAAAAAAAGGTACATTTAATGACAATACACGTAATTTACATGTAGAATAAATGTTATGTACATGATTTTCATTCAGACATTAAATTTGTCTACATCCAGATGGATACTTGCTGTCAGAATTGCAATTAACAATGTACTTTTCTAGGGATACATCAATCAGTTTACAGTCTAACCCGATAGCCTATACACTATATAATCTATGATCTAAAGAAAATTACTCAGAAAAAGGTGAACCTCCATATATTGGTTTTCAACATTGATATATACGGGCGAAATGTTAAATAATTACAGGTAACATGCGTTTTAAAGGAAGAGAAAACAATGTAAAATAGCCTTTGTTGGCACTAAAACAGACTTTAACAAGAACTGTCGGAGGACAGTAACGTTCGACTATTCGAAAAGTTGTCACAATGGTGGTTCATCGAGTATAATAATGCTTACCTATATGAATACATAAAATTGTCCGAAAAGGTACAAACCCTTCAGTAGTTATGGAGATACCGTCTAACAAGCAAAAATTTACCTAGAATTTCAAAGTCAAAAAAGGGGCATAATTATGCAAAAAAGCAAATTTAGAGTTATGGGACTGTGCCATTCATCTTAGAAAATCACAGAAAACAAGTGTGTGAAGTTTCAATCCATTCCCTTCAGTAGTTATGGAGATACCAGCTTACATGCAAAAACTTAACCAAAAATTTCTAAGTCGAAAAAGGGGCATACTTATGTAAAAAAGCAAATCAGAGTTATGGGACGTATGCCAATCATCTTAGATAATCACAGGGAACAAGTGTGTGAAGTTTCAATCCATTCCCTTCAGTAGTTATGGAGATACCAGCTTACATGCAAAAACTTAACCAAGAATTTCTAAGTCGAAAAAGGGGCATAATTATGTAAAAAGCAAATCAGAGTTATGGGACTTGTGCCAATCATCTAAGATAATCACAGGGAACAAGTGTGTGAAGTTTCAATCCATTCCCTTCAGTAGTTATTGAGATACCAGCTTACATGCAAAAACTTAATCACAGGGACGCCGACGCCGACTAATGGGTGACTGCATTAGCTCGATAATCTGCGAATAGTCGAGCTAAAAAGGATTTTGCCATTCATGAAATGTGCATAAAACTTTGCAACAGAATGTTTTTGGTCTACAGAAATTTAGCACATTCAAGGTTAATATTCTTGTTGTTATCATTTTTATTTTTGTTTATAATTGTCCTTAAAATATAAACCTGGAAGTGTACTTTCAAATGGTTCATCATTTTACAATAAGAGCTTTGTTGTTATATGAGTTTTGGCCTACTTTCACTTTGGACAGACTTTAGTGAAAACAAACATGGCTGACAAAGCGGAATTTAAAATCCAAATAAAATGTATATTTGTCAATCCCAGCACATGTACTGATCATATATATATATATAAAAAACCTTCATATAAGCCGTTTTGAAAAAAAATTCATGTTTCAACGATATAATATCACGGATTTATCTCAATACCGCCCGAAAGCGATCACAACTTCTTTTCAATCGGCCCCGAAAATATTTTACTTTTTTCCCTTACATGTTGCGAAACGACGCGTGCGCACATCTGATGTTTACCTCGACTACAATAAATGTCAAAAATTTCAAAGCGATTAGAAAGGTAAATAGGTGTTATTTTAATTCCAAATATTGAAAATTAATGTTTTTCACTAATCCTAAAATTTTCCTATTAATAAATCAAGATTATTTCCTCAAAATATTTCATAAACAATCTGTTTTTGTCCGTCTGCAGAAATATTCCAGGGCCACGCACCTGCTATTTTTTATGTTAAAAAGTATACTACACTACAAAAGTTACGTTTAAAATATATGTATATGCTTAACTGTGACATTCTTAATTGAAGGTTAATTAATAACTATGTTACACCAATTAAACCATATTCTCATGTAATCTCTGATTTTTTCCAGCAAACTGTCACCAGAGGGGGGGGGGGGTCATATAGACCTTATGACTCTAACAACCTGACAAATGCATATTTGTCAGTTATGCAAAGTGAGATGTCTATCAGAAAAGCTTCCAGATTTTTTGGTGTGCCTTACACTACGTTGAATGACAGGGTAGCAGGCAGAGTTGATGTTGATGTTATAAAGTCTGGAACCTCGATCTCCACTCTTTTTACAGGAGCAGAAGGCACTATTATCAGGACATTTGAAGGCAATTTCTGAAATAGGATATGGTTATAGTAGGCAGGAAACAATGGACTTGGCCACAGACTATGCCATCCACCTAGGATTAAGAGGCAAAGAACAAAAACATCTGACTGATAAGTGGCTCTACTTACTGGCCACAACTCAAATTAAAGAAACCTCGTGCCCTTGAAATAGCGCGTGCTAAGAGTGCAACACGTAATGTTATTGACAATTACTTTAAAAATCTTAAACAAATACTTGTTAAGTACAATTTATTAGAAAAACCTCATTGTATGTTCAATATAGATGAGAAGGGTCTGTGCACTGAGCACAAACCCCCAAAGGTGGTTGCAGGGAAACATAGTAAGACTCAGGCAGTTACATCTAGCAAATCCAAGTTAGTTACACTGATTGGCTGTGTAAATGGTGTTGGCCAGCAAATGCCACCCTTCTTTGTTTCTTCAGGGGCTAAAATGGTTGATGGTCTGATGGCAGGTGACAGCCCTGGAGCTGCTGGAACAGTGACATAAATTGGTTGGTCCAACACAGATATCTTCTGTCAGTTTATGCAAGATCATCTTGTTAAGTATCTACCGGCTAGGGACAAAAATAACCCTGTCTTAGTTTTATATGATGGGCACAAGAGCCACTGCTCACTTGGACTAGGGCACATCATTCTCTTTGTTTTGCCACCTCATTGTTCGCACATACTCCAGCCTCTAGACGTTAGCTGCTTGGGCCGTTTGAGGTAGCTTGGAATGCGGCTTGTCATAAGTACATGCGGGAGTCAGGTGGGTGCACAGTTACTAGGTATGATGTCTGCCGTATTGCCTGTAAAGTATTTACATCCACACTGACTGTGAACAACATCACATCAGCATTCAGGAAGTGTGGTCTTCATCCATTCAATGATGATGTTGTACCAGACCATCAGATAGCGCCAGCTACTTCATTTTCGCAGGAAGCTACACCAACTGCTGCAACAAAGTCAGCAGAGAGTTTTCTCGTGGAAAAGGGGGGTCAATTACTTAAAAATGTTGAAACTGCCAAAGAATCCAGAAATACACTAAGCAAGGTAATTGCAGGAAAACCATTTACTGAAAATGATGTTGTAAAGAAAATTAAAGAACACAAAGGAAATCAAACTTCAAAACAAAAATCATCTAAATCAAAATCTAACAAAATAGTATTACAGAAACACTTTACAAAAAATAAAAACTCCTCCTCCTGGAACATCAGGTATTCCTATGAAAAGAGCAAAAAAAACATTAGTGAGAGAATAAATGAATATGAAAATGAATCTTCAGATGATGAAATACCTGAAAAAAGATAGGTGTCATGTGTGCAAAAAATTCTCTCCTGATACTAGCAAAAGACCTTTCATAATCATAGTCAAGATGGGTCAGTGTGATAAGTGCGATGGTTGGGTTCATTTGGCTTTCTGTTCCCCAATAATGGTCTTAAGAAAAGTCTCACTACGCAAAATGAAAACTGACCTTGTAAATATGTTAAAACTGTTAATTACTGTTTATCTGAAGTTGAAATTTTAAAATTTTCATTCAGTTACTTAGTTGATGAAATGTTGACATTGAGTAACGCTTTTTATGAGGTGCAGTATTGTAGTAAGCAAGTCTACAAGATATAATAAGCCACGCCTTTAATATCAAATATCGTTATTGTTACTGTGTGTATGTTTACTTGATGTTTGGGAGTTTATGAGTGTATACTTGGATGCAACACATATAATAAAATATATAAACCATCCTTCGGGTCTTGTTTAGTTTGTGTGCTAGTAAGCCATCCAAATAGAAAATATAAATGTTACATTGGCGACGAGGATCGGATATTAAAAAAACTGTGGATTAATTTAAACTGACTCTGTGAAAAAAAGCAGATTTGAAAATGGATAATTTACCTGCTTTTCCGAAATTCGATGTTTTTGCTGATGAAAATTCTCTGGGAGTACGATGGGAAAAGTATTTGGATAAATTAGAAAACTTATTTGTTGGACTGGGTATAAACACTAGAAAACGAAAAAAAGCACTGTTACTTCATTATGCAGGAGATGATGTTTACGATATCTATGATACATTGAATTTAAGAGAAGACAATGAAAACTACGAGGAAACGAAAATTGGATTAACAACATACTTTAAGCCAAGAAAAAACACACAATTCGAAATATTCGAATTTCGTAATATGAAGCAGTTGCATGGGGAATCTATCGACCAGTTTACAACAAGATTACGCCAGAAAGCTAAGAATTGTGAATTTTTGGACATTGACTCAGAAATTAAAAGCCAGATCATACAGGGTGTTGTTTCACAAAACATGAGAATGCAGTGTTTACAAGATCCGGATAAATCACTTAATGACTTACTTACAAAAATGAGAACCATGGAAATATCAAAAACTCAAGCAGCAAATATGTCAAAGGATACAAGTAGTCAGCAAATAGTGCGGGTAAAAAGCAATCCTCGATTTAGCCGTCAATCAAAGGGATTCGCACCTAAACGTTATCAGCAACGTTCATATCAAACTATCCCAGAAGCAAGTTTGTCGTCGGGAAGGCGAAACAACCCTCCAGAACGAAATAAAAAATGCCGAAATTGTGGAGGAAAGTATCCCCATATGTCACGTTGCCCGGCTATCGGAGC